CGCCGTCCTATCTGCGACAGTTACAGCGTATATCCACGGAAAAAGAGATGCTCTGCGTGGTTTCTTTTATTTGCGGGTCTGCTACGCGCTGTGTCTACCAGTGCCCCCCCGCGACAAAACAATGTTTTCAACGGTTTGGACGTAAATTCCCCTTCGTTTGATGTAGTACGTGCATGTAATATACTTCAAATATAGAAGTACAAGGGGTCTGGCGGCTTTCGCCGCCCCTCTCAATAGATCGATTCCAAGATACCCAATAAAGTATTCAAACTGAGAATAAATAAATATGGATCGGTGCAGAAAGAGGGCGTACTCGATTCATGCCATACAGCATTCATTGTAGTATCTGATGAATATCAAAATGAAGTAGCATTGGTGAACGGAGAGTGTGTCGTGGTAGTGCTGTCGGCTTTCGCCGCCCCGCTCAATAGACCTCGACCGACCTCACCGCCAGAAGTGTGCCCGGTGTCTACTCGCTTGGTTCATCGTGTATCATCTTGACTGAGTAGATATCCGTATACGTTGCAGTGTATCATCTTGACTGAGTAGATATCCGTATGCGTTGCAGCAGCAAGCTGTAGCACGGCACACAGAGTTCAAATGTCATGCGGAGCGCGGAGCTGATTGCTCGGCCAAACATATTTGATCTGCTGCCAAACGTACGTCGTGAGTCACACAACTGCGATGACATGAGCGGCCCCAGCGAGAGAAAATGACTGAGCAACAAACCGACCAAATCGTTCGAGCTACTGCTATGCTGGCGTCACCAGCAGCTTGTAGTTTATGACGCTTAACGGGCGAGAGAGGTCACGAGGAGTCAGAAAATATGTGCCGCTCATCATGTCATGTGAAAAAATGAAGAAAAATGAAGTATGTTGGCCAATAGTCTACCGCTGTATGGTACATAGATGAAGGAGCGGGCCCACCGAGAGCGGACTAAACCTTGCACCACGCCAGAACGATTGAGGCGTCCGCTACCCGGTTCGTCCGGTTTCCACGAGCAGGCGAGACAGAACCACCAGTCAGTAAAGTACTGGAATGTGAGAACCGAGGCGGAACGATGAACGAAGGGAAAATATCAGAAAGCTCTAAATATCCCGGATGAGATGAGAGATGGGAAAAAAATGAAGAACATGCATACGACAATTGAGAGCCGAGACACAGACGTACCGGTGTGTAAGAGGAAGAGAGAGACTGGAATGCAATGTCATGTGGGCATCGATCGATGGAGAGCAGAGGAAAAGGGCAAAAGGTTCCACTAGCGAGCGATGCAGAGTGAAGAGACACACTACATGAAGGGGGAGCAGAGAAGAAATGACAACAAGGAGAGCAAATCTTCGAAGCAGTGCAACGTGCCGATAACCCGATGTGGGAACACCTAGAGACAAACTGGTGGTGCTTGAGGGCATAGAGAAAGGGGAGGGGGAGACTGCACATAATGCGATGCGTCGTGGATGGGGAGCAGAGGAAAGTGACGACCGGAACCAACCGCGAGCGACCGAGGCAGATGCAGAGCGAGGCAGACGCAGAGCGAGAAGAAAAAAATATTCGTACATATAGAGGGGGAGCGGAACGATCAAGAAACGCCCGAAAGATCCCTGAGAGATGGAAATGCGGCTCTGTGAACGGCCGAGAGCGCCGAAATGAAGCTCTCTCAGCGCCCGAGAGAAACTTCTCCTGCACGCTCGCTGAATCTTTCAAATCATATATTGATATATGAAAATGACCAAATCAACAAGAAAAAACAAGCGGTGGAGAAAACTGCTGTGCTGCTCCTCCGCCCACCCCATTGATTTCTCCTATCTCCTTTCCATCTTAGAAAAGGTTTCATGTAATACTTATTGGTACGGGGGGCGGCTAGGGGGGGGGGGGGGGGTACTCATAGTCGTGCATGCCGTCGTCGTTAAACCATTGACCTCGCATCCCTACAAACCCCGGACGGAGCACGCCGGGTTCTCACCGGACCAGGCTCTCACATCACCAAGCGCGAAGCACCGTGAGGTATTTGGCGAGTCGCATGAAGGGTGAGCTGCATCCTGCTAAGGGTGTTCGGCATCTTGTGCTTACTTCCTTGCGTATGACTTAATATATTTCTGTTTTTTTCACTTCCAGAGACAGTCATAAGCACTGTGTAGCTGCCTCGAGGGTGCTTGACCAATTTAACACAACGTGGTGCGATCATACCCCTTGCGCGAAGTGAGAGTTCTCCACCCCGCACAACATGATCTACTCGACCACCATTATGGTTACCGCCAAAACAAAAACCAGTGGAAAAAAAAAAAACGGTAACCTGGTTGCCGAGTTCACGAAGTGAATTGGCTTGTTTTACAACGTCGTTGCCAAGGGGCGAAAACCCAATCTCGATGGCAAACACCGAGGGGGCGGCTCGTTTTACAACGTCGTTGCCAAGCGACGAAACCCAACCCCGATGGCAAACACCGGGGGGGGCGGCTTGTTTTACAACGTCGTTGCCAAGCGACGAAAACCCCACCCCGATGGCGAACACCGGGGGGGGGGGGCTAGGGAGGGGGGGAATTTTTTCACGGCGGCCCCCGCGCCCCGGCGCCCCCGCGGGCTGCGCTATACCCACCAGCCACTGCTGGTGTACTGGTGTGCTGTTTTCTTCGCCAGAAATATGAAGATATGAAACAAGAGAATCAGCAGGATGCAACAGCCCGAAGAAATATGAATTCCGTTTTAAGAAATTGGGCCGACTTCGGCTGATCCTTCTGCCCAAACAAAGAAATTGAGGCTCGACCCGATTTAGACGTTTCTTATCTCCGGACCCGTTCTGTAACAGGAGACGACGGGCTGCCGCATTTCTCAGCAACATCCTCGAGCTCGCAATATTTTTCTCAACATCCAAGCACGGTGGTGGCGGGTGTGTTGCGTGTAGATCTGTTTTGTAGAATTCCTCAGGAATAAGGCAATTTTTCTCGAATATCTTTTTTTGCCGTGACAAGCCAAACCAACATCTTATATCCGTACTTCTCTTACAATGGTGGCTACGGTTAAAGGGCGATGATTTCAAATAAATTACGGGATTCAGAGAGTAAAACTGGCGTGTCGCGCCTCTGGGCGATATAGTCAAAGAAAGAAATTACCATATTCAAATCGTAATCTCTTACATCGAATCCCCAACGGAGGAAAGCTGCATAACACCCAAACCGTACGTACCATATCCTGGGCAGCAGGCAGCCGTTGCTTGAGTGCCTCCGATCACACACCAAGCCCCCATCAGACTTCACGAAGCACCAATGCAGGTTCGTTTTCATCGCTCGCTGTTCTTGTTGTTTCATATCCAGTCTGTGCCGAGCAAGCACCACAAGGCGCTGATGGATTGTTCGACACGATGCATTTCATGTCCTCCATCATGAGCACCGTTATATGGCAGTATAGGCGGCATCCGCAATAAAACGGCCTTACCCTCACTGGCTACGGTTTAAGAGCTTGCTATTGACCCGCAATATCATAAGAGAAAACCAAATTCAAGGGAGAAATCCTGGCTTGCCCCGACCCCTCTCTTTGAACCGTACCCATTAATCGTTTGCTGCTTACAGCAGTACATCAGCAGAACATTCTTTTTGCTCCATTTCGCGACTACTTGTTGTGTGTACAGCTGTGGCGCGCTTCATTCTAACTGCTGTGTCCTCCGCCCGCGCTTCGTGCTTTTCCTCGCGCCCCAGCCAGTAATCCTGGTTCTCGAACGCGCTCCGTACTCTGTACTTTCCGTTGTCCCCATCAACCAACGGGTTATTGCTCTTACCGAATGAGCTCGCCAAGGGCCCACAAGCACATGCAAATGACATCAACACTGACAAGAACGGTCTTTGAAAAAAAATGTCCAACTACAGTCGCCTTCGACGACTCGCTGTGTCTTACGGCCGTTCGTACGTTCCAAATATTTCTGTCGAACTGCCAAGTTGTTTCAAACCCGTAGACCATAGACTCTCACTTACCGCCCTTCCTGCAATGATGATTGATGTCATGACTGCGATTTCCTACCCCGTGCTGCGAACACGTCCTTTTTTGTCCGGCAACCGCACTCTTTCAGAGGCACCCGTCCGGTGCTGATGCTGTTGCAGCAGCTGCCACTTTTCCTGCCCCGAGGATTCTCACGGTCCGTGCTACGAACGTCTACGGAGAATTCAACAAGGTCTGTGCGGCGGCGTAGCGCCCTCTGTGTGTTGATGTAGACATGGTCGCCTTCACGGGACCTCGCGTCATCATCTCGGCAGTTGTGTACATTGTACCCTGCCTATCCTTTGCCTTTTTTCCTAAGGTCGGAACAACGCCGTAGGGTCGTGTTCTATTTTCGTTCTCCGCACCCCGAGTTTACGCGGAAGCGGTCGAGTCCGGGGACAATTCCCCCCCCAAAGCGTGCATTTTTTGCGGGCACAACCGACGTGCCTCAGGTGCACAACACGCCCCACTCGTTGCATACGAAAGCGCGAAGCACGCTCACGGGTACCCATGTCTTCTATGTTTTCCCCGCCCGTGAGTGATACTGCTGTCACCCCCCCCCCCCCCCCCCCCCTTTTCCTCGGGGGGGGAAGGGCCCGGAAGAACCCCCGGGGAACCCCCGGCCAAAAGGCCCGGGCCAGGGGATTTTCCCCTTTTCGAAAAACCCCCCAGCCCGCGAGGGAAAAGTTTCCCCCCCCAAAAAGGGAAAAAAGTTTTATTCCAGGGAAAAGGCCCCCCGGGCCCCACCCCGCCGCGGCATGGACGGGAAAAAAAAAGTAAGTTCCCCCCGGAAAAAATTAATCATCTAAAAAGGGGGGCAACGGTTTCAAAAAAACCGCGGGGGGTATGAACCGGGGGGGTTTTTTGATCCGGCTCTCTTTTTAACAGCCCTACCCCAAA